GACTACCAGCTGTTGGTATATACACAAAAGCGTTAACGGTGCTCTGTGTGTGTGTGTGTGTGTGTGTGTGTGTGTGTGTGTGTTGGTGGGGAATTCATTAAATGAGTTATGCAGAAAACGAGGCCTGGGGAAAGAGTAGAATACAATCTCTCAAAGGTACAACTAGGTGACAAGCCTTCGTTTCCCTCCAAACCGACTTGACCATTGTCCTGAGAAGAGAATACATTGTCCACTGTTGTTCGTTTTTTAAGGACTCGAAGGTGCTGTGGAATTTTAACAGGGGCACGGCTAACTCGAAATCGCGCACACACACCACACTCAAGGTGGGAGGGGGATATGTGTTTGTGTGTGTCCGCCAGGAGCTTGTTCTGGTGGTTATTGTTCCCCAAATACTTTGAGACCCCCAATACCCTTAAAGAGCACAATCAATTTCCCACTAGAGTGCTCAGGAAGAACTTCTTCACTTCCGTTTTTGTCTGTTTGTTTTTAAACTGCGTTCAACTGCCAGGACCTACATTGTCCCGCGAGGCGCCAGCGCTGAGGAATAACCAGGGAATTTCAACCACAACTCAGAATGGCAGCCCGTGGTCTGCGTTGTGCGGTGCTCTGCGGGGGTTCGCATCCGGCCGCCATGTTCCCGACTCCAGAGCCGCCCCCAAACCAACCCTCCTTTCCACATCCCCCTCCTTTCCTCCCTCCCTCCCCCCGGCTTAGCCGAGGCCGCCCTTCCCGAGAGGCTGCTTTCAACCTCCCCCCACCACCCACCCACCCCCGGCCGCAAAATCCTGCTCGACGGCTGCAAAGCTTTGCGCCTGCGCGCCGCGCCCGCGGGGGTGGGGGTAGGGGGAATCCTAAGGTCCCCAGTCTCGGCTTGAAAAGGCCGAAGCCACGGGGAGCAGGGGCGGGGTTGAAGCCCGGACCAGAGCCTCCTCTTTCCTCTCTGCGGGTCCCCGCTAAGGCCCTGGCCGAGCTCTCTCACACGTGCGCGCTAAAAACCCACTTCAAAGTGTGTTCCCAGTGCCGAGGAGGCCCCTTTTGGGTCAGCCTCATATTCAGGGAATGCAGGAGCCTCGCCGCCTCCATTCCTGGCACCACAGATGCGCTCCGAGAGCCGAGCAAGAGGACAGTTTCCGACTGATGCGGATGCCGCAAGTGCCCTTCGGGTACCACCGTCCTCATCCCCCACCCCCACCGCCAGTGGAAAAGAAATTGAACACAAAGTTTGCTGGCAGCGCTATGCTGTAGTCTTCGGAGATGGCCATTGTTTGGGCTCGAATTGACCCCAGGTCGGGATTAGGCCGAAGCTGATTTCTGCTTTACAGCCCCGCCGGCCTAATGAGGCCGAGAGGCGATGGGGCGCGAAGCGTCCTCGGAGCCCAAGGCGATCCGCAAGCTTATGGCCGCCAAGGGCCCTGTTGGTGGAGGTCAAAGGGTCAGCGGGCAGAAACCTCGAGAGAATTGACCCTAGGAAATGAGGTCCCCTCCTCCCTGCCCAAACCTCAAGCGGAGATTTAGAAGAATTTGGTGTGGACAGAGGGTCCCCAAGGACTGCTGAAACCCCTAGCGTCACTCTCCTCGCCTTCCCCCATGCTAGAGACCATTTGGAGCCTTGGAACTTCTGTGACAGAAAACAAGCTTAGATCCTAGTTACAGCAGTACTCTCCATTCATATGGTGGCAGAGCCTTTCAAATACTTACAAGGCATTATTTCTCTGGACTTCTGGTTTGGGCAGATTTCTTTGGAGGAAAGGGGGATATGGAAGCCAGGGGCAAAATAGGCAAGGAGAAGTCAAGCAGAAATTCGGAATACACCATATCTGAAGGCGTTGGGGACACTAACTAGGTCACCCTTCATAATACCTACTAGACAGTCTTGCTTACCCTAGATGCTGATCTTTGAACCTTCCAAACTTGATGAAGGCCAGAGCTCCCTTCCCCTCATCTTGAGATAATATGCTAACCTACTCATTTTCAAGGAGTCGATTACTAAGAACCAAGCTTGGACTTGGAGTTTTAGCTTTTGTGACTTGGAGTGTGTGGTTACTCTCTTAGGTTGCTTAGTTTGCATTCAAGAATATAAATATGCATTCCTGATGCCAGATTATAGGCAAGAAAATCAAAGGATTCAAAGAAACCAAATTTTCTTTGTAGAAAAAATGCATAAGCATAATTTCAGGAAATTTGCTGTACTCAGATCAAGAGGGAATCACGAGAGGCACGTTTTTTATAGTTACTAGGTTATTGTTATTTGTCAGTTTCCTCTCATAGGACACAGAAGAGTGCTTTTCTGTAAAAATCTATGGTAGAATATTTTCAAAACCACTAACAAAATATTTCGTGTTATTTAATTAAGGTTAGCAAGGGTTTTAGCCAGTGTTACTCAGCCTATGTCTATGTAAAGCTAGGTTAGGGCTAGGGTCAGCAGGGAGGGAACTCATGGAGAAAACAGCAAATTCTGGAAGCTCATTGAATATGTAGAAGAAAGGCTGGCCACTTACATTTCACAATGACACAAATTTAGTCCCTCTTATGAATAAAAAGCCCTCTGAAAAATTTCTGAGCATTTAAAATTGTCTCTGGTTTCTATGAAAGGGAAAGCCTGAAATATGGATCTGGTCCAAACCTTCAATGTCAAGGTCAAGATTGGGATGTCTGGGTTGGGTGTGATGAACTGACCTGGTTAACTTGCTTAGCACATGTATGATCATCCCAATTTCTGTTCATGGTATTCAGATGGAAACCAGCAAAGCGAAGTGCAAAAGACACCATTTTTCACTAACAAAATATTACCTCCAAAGAAAAAAAATCTGTCAATACTTAATTGTTGACAAAAATAAGTAGATAACAAAATGGATAATTTTAATGGACCTTGAGAATCAAAGTTTGTTTTAAAACACCAGAAATTCTCTAAGCATTTCAATTTTATATTGATTTATTTGAACATGGAAAAAATATTGGGCACCAAATAAAAAAAAATACATAAATACGATGTGCCAAGACTTTTATTTCTTCAGAAAGAACAATCAACAAAATTTCAATTCTAGAATTGAAAATGATTATATAATATCAAATTAACTGCCACCAAAAACTGAGAGCATTGCCCCTTAAAGCGAAAGAGGTACTTAAGCCTATTCATTACATTTCTAAATACTTTACAATCCCTTATCTCCACTTTTCTGTTATTCATGCAGAGATTGGGCTCTCAATAACCAACAAACAGCACCCTAAAAAAGTCTCCAAACTCTACCCACTTCAACCCCCAAAATAGTGATCAGTTTCTTTTTCATAGACCCATTGTAAAAAGAACCGTTTGTCCAAATGAGTTGCTTCACTGAAGATTAAATGGATTGTTAACATTTTATCACAAAACAAACAACCATTTTTCATTGTTACTGATTTTAATGGAAACAATGCTCTTAACATCTTTGCCTACAAGTAATGAACTTTAAAAATAACGTATTTTGCAAATTTCTTCTTTCCAGAGTATCATTTAGGAACTGCTGCAGTTATTACACCGCTATATAAACATTATGAGTAATTGTGATAATCATGAATTGAACTATATACAGCAAACAAATCAGCCTTTGCCATCCAAAATTTAAAGACTATGTTTTTTTTTTTGTTTTTTGTTTTTTGTTTTTTTTTTTTTTAAAGAAGAAGCACTTTAACCATGAGAAGCACTGTTCAGCCGGCCTTGCTCATTGTCATTTCAGAGATGTACTATCTTTTGAAGCTAAACAGATTTGATAGGCAGATTAGGTAAGTCATAGATACAAACATATAGGTATATGAGTGATTTCTCAACAGACATGCATCCTGCCATAATTTTCATTTTTATGTAAAGTAATAAAGAACTAAGGGACATAAAACTAATTAGGTTATCTTATGTTTATATATATATATAGGGCAGGAATGATTAAATCCAGCTTCTCAGTCTTTGAAGTACAAGATTGAGATGTCATGGCCACTAAGTGAATTGATCAGTATTATTTGATTTGCATGCCAAAAATCCAGGACAAACACATTTAAACTCGCAGTTAAACAACCATCTGAGCTAGAGATAAAGCAAAAAGGGTCCTCCCCAAATGGAAACTGACATTGGAAGGAATCTAGACTGCAATAGAAAAATAATTTAACAATTAAAAAAGGGATCTGAGTGAGTTATAAATACCAACAAACAAAATTCAATTTACTCATGTCTCCTATTTGTAGGAGTCTGTTACAAAACAAAAATGTCAGTATGGTTCAAAAATTGTAAATTGTGTTCCTTTTCTCAAAACAATAATTGTTTAATGCTAAAGCAGTTATAATCAAAAGCTGTACAGAATTTGTTAGAAAACATTTATCCATAAATATTGTTCAGTTCCCGGCACTTGCAGCAATAATTAAATTACAAACGATAAATATGGCATCAACGGATATGTATTTACAAAAAGAAAAGTTATTACAAAAGGCAACTGTATACTAAACGTCACAATCTGTGTAGAGTAACATCATATCCTCAGCCTGAAAAAATACTGAACAACAAGTTTCGACCCCATTAGACGAAGATACATTCACAAGTGTAATGCTTTGAAGAAAAGTTCAAGACATAACAGGACTTTGGCATGGTTTAAGACCGTGAGAGTTTAAACAATCACCACTAAGGCGAAGAAGAATTTTCATCAGTTTAACATCACCACCACCAAGCCATCGATAACTTCCTCAAGAAACAGGACAAGTGTTAATTAAAATGATTTGAAGGAGTTTCAGAAAGGGGTGTACAGAGCAAGAGGAGAGGGGCAGGAAAAGCAGTGAAAAGATTTTGTAAAAAATTCTTTCAAATGCCAAAACATTTTCTAATCCTGAGAAAAGGGCATGGCTACTTTTGAATCTTGCCCCAAACCTTCCTGAACAATTGCAATTACCAAGGTGTAGCCCTAAATATGGCCTCTTGCTTTAAAACTCCATTTCCATCTGATTTGTCTCAGTTTTCTTTTTTAAATGCATTTTGGTTGTCCTCAGACGTACCATTCGTTAAAATTGGGAGGAAGTCCAGGGTTGTGGCTGGTGCTAGTTTGAACTGCAGAAGGGGTTTTAGTGGTATCTTTACTGTTTGCAGAAGCTATAGCGGGTGGAGTGGAGGATTCATAGCCTGAACTGGCAGCAGGGGAAGAATCTGACCCTTGAGATTCATGAACCTAAAATTAACATGTATATATTATAATGAATATAATTCCAACTGGCAATGTGAAAGCAATAATAAATAAATAAAACCCCCAAATAACAACAAAACAAAAGCAGATTTGAATACTGTAAGAGAGCAAGACCGCCCGCTGGCCCACTTAAAAGAGAAATGGGATTTAAAAAAATTGTTTTTTCCATATTACTGATGTCTAGATACCCCCTAACATTTCCACCAAAAACCAGGCTGGAAAAGGAATAAAGAATTTCATTTTAGTCATGCTACTTTAAAAAATGCTTTCTCCGTGGATGGAGTGGGCAAGTAGTTATTCTGCTGGCCCTATAAAATAGTTACTCCAGATTCCACTTTCAGATTTTGGCCTGGGAAAGCAGGTAGAGATGAGTGACACAGGGGTTGGTTGGGGGTTGGGTGCTGTGAATTCCCACACAACTGTGTTGGAATTAGACTAAGCTCCTCGGCTCTATTGTTTTATCTGAAGCGGAGGAGCAAACGAATGACACTACCCCGGGTTCGGAGCGCCCACTCCGGATTCCCACCGTGGGCTGAGATAGCTCAAGCCCTGGCGAGCTCGGTTAGAGCTTCCCCATAAACAACTGATTGTTCCGTCCACTCTCTTCCCCCTCCCAACTCTGCTCCCTCCTTCTCGACCCCCCTTCCACCCCCATCCTCAAAATGGGTTCAAGGTGTCAGTGCTGGAGCAAATCGGATTTAACGTGAAGGATAGAGGGTTGGCAGCGCGGGCGCTTCCGTTCTGCGGCCCGGTATCAGGCCGAATGTTTACAAACCGCCGACCGCTAATAAAGAGGTAATTACCTTCATGTGTTTGCGCAGTGAGCTCGGATGTGTGTAGGACTTGTCGCACACTTTACAGATATAGGGCTTGTCCGAGGTGTGCACATGCATGTGCTTCTTGCGGTCGCTGCTGTTGGCAAACCGTCTGTCACAGCCTTCGGATTCCCTTCACATGGGACACCCCCCCCCCGCCCACACCCCCCCCGCCGGGGGGGGGGGGGGGGAACATAGTTAAACCCAGAAACTTCTGAGTGTTGAGCGGGAGATTGAGAGGCCGGCGGTCTTTCTGCAGAGGGAAGTGCGGACTGTGGAAAGATGTAGCATCTGTTCCCCCCCCCCCGGGGGGGGGAGAACGTTGATTGAGCTTGCTGAGTTGGGGACTGGTGATCTTAGGCAGGGGTAGAGTAGGGCTGGCTCAGAACCCGAACATCCCTTTGTTTTCTCAGGAGCAGAAAGCTGGGGGATCCTCAGAAGTTTACCCAAGTTGTGCTTCCACTCCAAAAGAGCCAGGGCTCCCAAAGTGCGGGCACATTACGCCACCACCTCGGCAGTGTAACCAAGCTGGGTAGGACAATGGGCCTGGAATGGGACAGTCCTATCCGTCCCCTTCTTTGTGTCTTTTAATTTGCCTCTTTCAAATATAGCGATTTTACTAAGCCTGGTACTCTACTAATATTTAGAAAGAGAAAACTAGATAAACCCAGGGACTACATACAATTTTACAAGAGATTCTGAGCAAGCCACAGAAACCAATGCCTTTTCTACTTTAGCTTTCCTCCAAAGGACTAAACTGAATCTGGAACTCCAAATAAAAATAGTTTGACAAAAGTATCAGTCATTTAATTAGGAGATATGCCAATCAAGTGTAAAAAAGAACGGAAGTAACCAAAGTTAGTTTTCATTAGCATTTCTATGGTTGCCTTCCCCGAATGTGTTCAGAGAGCTAAGTCGCTTGTAAGCAATATACTCCCAACACATTCGGAGTCTCTTCCTAGTAACCCAGAAAAGAACACAAAAAGAGGTGGCGCCAGTTGGTTCCTGGGCGCGAGAAGGTCCCAATTAGTTCCCGAGACCACAGCTGCCTGTTCAGGAACTTAGAACTCGGCAAAAGCGCCGCAGGTTCCCGGGGGGTGAGGGGTGGATAGGCTGTGACAGCGCTTCGTACTGAATGGTCTCGGCGGGGCGCCGCCCCTTGGGTTGGCCTCCACCCCACTCCCTCTCTCGCTGTCCTGGTCCGCTTGGTGGCAGGGTGCCCCTGGGGAGGCCCGCTCCCACCTGTCTGCTCCCCTTACCTGTGTGGGTCCTCTTGTGGATCTTGAGGTTCTCAGAACGGGCAAAAATCTTCCCGCAGCCCGGGAAGGGACATGGGAAGGGCTTCTCGCCAGTGTGCACTCGGATATGGTTGACCAGTTTGTACTTCGCCTTGAAGGACTTGCCTTCGCGGGGACATTCCTCCCAATAGCAGACGTGGTTGTTCTGCTCCGGGCCCCCCACATGCTCCATGGTGACATGCGTAACCAACTCATGCATGGTGCTGAAGGTCCGGTCGCAGCTCTTCTTGGGCCGGCTCAGCTGAGCCTCCTCGATCCACTTACAGGACAGCTCCTGCTTGATGGGCTGCCTCATATAACGGAAGAAGGCGCCCGGCCCGTGGTGGGCCGCCACGTTCACGCCCATGTTCATGTTCATGGGGCTATAGTTAGGGAACTGCGCACTGGCCGCGTAGGGGTCCGTGCGTGGGCTAGCCACGGGGCGATACGGGTCTGCACGGCCAAATAGCTCCCCACGCAGCCCAAGATGGACCTGGTTGTTGTCCACGTGCCCCGTGGGCGACGGGTGCCCAGCGCCCTGCTCATGAAGCCCGGGAAAGAGCAAGTAGCTAGGAGGCTCAGGAATACCAGTTGGAGCGTGAAGACTGCTCGCCGAGCCGGCAAAAAGCCCGTGCTGCCCGCCCCCGGAGGCTGCCTCGCTGAGCCCAGAACCGCGCTGACGGAACAGAAAGTCGCGCGTGGAGTTGAAGGCGGCAGAGGCAGCGCCGCCGTAGGTAGGCACCTGGCTGGCGTGATGGTGGTGATGGTGATGGTGATGGTGGCCCAGGGCATTGGCATAACCTGAACCCTGCGGTGTGAAAGCTGAGCTCTGGCCCGAAGACAGATCGTGAGCGGTGGCTGGGCTCAGCTTGAAGGCGGCGGCGGCGGCGGCGGCGGCCGCAGCGTGGGTTGAGTCCCCGAAGGGATTCAATCCCATGCCTGCAGGCTCGCGGTTGGGCATCTCGTGGTGGCGCGGCGCACCGAAGCTGCCTACTCCCAGCCCAGGGAACTGCGGGCCTCCGTCCAGGAGCATCGTCATAGGTGGGGCGTTCTGGACACAGAAGATCCGGCTGAAGTGAGCAAGGGTGCAGGCGAAGGAGATCCCTGAAGGGCCGTAGACGGAAAGGGATGGCGACGGTTGAACACTGTCGGGAGACCCCCTACGCGCTACCCCGAGCTGCAACTTTCCTTGACTGCGAGAGTCTCCTGCAGAGGGACAGGAGGGAGGAGGGGAAGAAAAAGGGTTGGGGGGAGGGTGATGGGAGAGGAGGGAGGAGAAGGGAGGAGAAAAGACTCTAGGACTAAATCTGCTTAACAAACTAACGGGAGCGCACAAAGAAAAATAAGCAAAATAATAAGTGGAGGGCGGGGTTTGTCAATCCTGTCCCGGACACCCCTCCTCTACTCAAGAGCGCGGAACCACGGGGCCAGAAGGCTCCTTGGGTACCGGCTTTCAGGCGCAACTGCACCAAGTAGCAGAGGCGGAACGTGGCCAGAGGGTAGGCAGCCTTCAATAAGCAGGCTCGAACCTCACTGCTCGCCTTGCGAGTCCAAGCCTCTTCACCTCCAGAGTAATGTCCTTGGACTGATAAAGTCAATCACTCACTCCTCGCACATAAACCGAGCGGGAGGCTGGGCAGCGCGCACCAATGGGGAGCCAGCTGGCCTGAGATCACCTGACCCCCGGCCCTGTCGCCCATTGGCCACCGCCACACTGATTGGCAGCGCGAAGCGGAGAACATGGCAGCCGCTGCCGGGCGACCACAGCTGATTGGGTAGCTACGGAGCGCCTGGCAGGTGAGGCGGCGGCTGCTCAGCGTCCCTGAGAGGGTTCTGCCGGGCTTGCGGGGCTGTAGGGAACTGGGGCCAGGCTTCCGCAAGCGGCGGGACAGAGCTGATCCTCTCCCTGGCTTGGCTCTGCTCCAAGCCGGCTCCAAGCACTCCTCGCGCGCTCTGCACCCGCCTGGGCTAAAGAAACTCTTTGACCCGAGAAGATACTTGTCGCTGCCGTTCCCTTTCGGTCCAGAAGACACTGTGGTACCCACTTGGGACCCTGCTGCCTCACCACCTTGAGGACGTTTTCCTTCCGTAGGTGCCGGGAACAAATTACTACATGAGTGGGACCAATCTGTGTTCCTGACCAGCTGTGGCTTCCACCCCACACCAGACCCAGGCCGGATCAGCTTCCTCCCTCCCCGTTACCCAAAACTAGAGGTAGCCGTCCACTGCCCACACTAGAAGAAACGATAGCTCCTTGAGCCTACCACCCGTAATTCGGAGTCAGACTGTGACTCTGTGGTCTGTGATTAGCAGCTGTACTCACTGCTACTCAGCAACATCCCCCCGCCCAGTGATACAACAGACACAATACAACAACCATGTACAACACAACCTTAGCAAATAGCGGGAAACACAAATGAAACAGGAAACAAGCACACATCCCAAAAGACGCATAACGTACTAAATAAAGAAAGCAACACAGTCTCAACACTAAACAAAGGACAGCGAAAATATAGACACCAGAAACATGCATAGATGCTAAATAAATGTTGTGTAAGAACACAGCCTATGTACACAAAACAGAGTAAACACACTAGACAGTAACTGCTTTCCGTGTGGCTGAATAAACAAGCTTTGAATTCTCAACGTTTTTAAACGCAAAAGTGTTAAAGACAACCAGGGAATGGAATTTTCCTCCCTTTTAACACCCCGGGCTTTGCTCTCTTCTATGCCTACCCAGTGAAGCACCTAGCGACCCAGGGAAGCAGTTACTCCCTTAAGGAATTGCTTTCCAGGGAACTGTGTAGGAGTGGCCTCCTTACCCACCACTCTTCCCCTGGTGAGAGGTTTTTCCCCCCTGAACAAAATGACCAGAAACAGGGTTATAAATCCACCCATGATTTGTGCGACAAAACACTAGCAAAGGGTGGAAGAAAGTGAGAAGAAAAGATGGAGAGATAGCTGTGATTGTCACATCCCAAGCAGGGCAGAACTTCCAAAGTCTGTGCCTTGAGGCAACCTCACAGCCTGGCCGCCATCTCTCTGTAGGAAACAACATCTGATCAAGTTCAGAGGCGCCAGGAGAGACCGCCTCAAGCAGCGCGGTTGTAACTGCAGTTTTTCGGTTTCTGCCCTCCTATCTGACTGATCTAGCCAACACCTCACCTTCTAAGATAGTTTTCGGAGAGAAGGTGTTACTGGCATCACATCTTATAGTAGTCACCCCTTCACAGCCAATTCACCCCAATCTCACTCCACATTTAGAGCCCTCTCCCCAAGTTGGAAGGTGAGTGCACTGCTGACTTTTAAATTATTACATTTACCGAAAACAAGCTCTTCAAAAAATCAAAAACAAAACAAAAAGCAAAAAATGTCTTTCTTCCTCTACAGAGTTTCTTTGCGGGGGTGGGGGGTGGGGTGGGGTAGAGAGTTTTAGAGAATAACAAATATGCTTAAATCATGCAAATGAATTCCGTGGAGTCAGGTTTGCAAAAAAAAAAAAAAAAAGAGGGTGGGGGGAGGACTGCTTTTTCCCCCTTGTCTTATTTTTCCTTAATTTCCTTCTGAGCACTCTCCTGAGTACCTCTCCTCACCCCTACCACCCCAGGACGTATAGGAAATTCTGCTTAGGAAAAAGTTTGGATCCTGTCAGCTTGGAGATGCAGGGAAGGCAGCTGTCCCGCCACCGCTGCTGCAAGAGTTTCCCGGCAGTCCCTGCAGGTACCCGGATAAGCGAGGGTCTTGCAGGATTGGAAATCTGAGCAAGCTACCCGGCAAAGGATTGTAGAAGAAGGTTGGCAGCTTGGGACTAGTATGCCTCTTTTTGGGGAGGAGTCTTGAACGCAGGGCAAGGGGATGCTGCTGCTGCTGACCTACCGGGTACGGAGTGTCCGTTTTGATGCGGCCACATTCCGATAATTAATTGCCTCCAGCACGTGCTCTGCAGTCCCTGGAACAAAAAGGCATAATTCAATTAGATCATCAACCGAGAAGTGGGAAGGTGGGAAGGGGGGAGGGGGAGTCCTAGTTAAGAGGCAGACCTGAGGCGGTTCAGCTAGGCCAAAACCAGGCAGAGGAGCTCTTTCCAAGGCTGCCAGAGCCCTTAGGAGAGCAGTTGTTCAGTGAGGCCCAGGGGTTCCAGATACTACCCAAAGGATGAGACTGGGGACTCTATGAGCAGCAGGGCACAGGCAGGCCATTTCGAATTCTGTTGTGGTTGGTATGGGTGGGAGTTAACATATTTGGGAAGGGGAAGCCCTGACTCTTCATCGCAATGGAAAGCAGTGTCTCTCCAGCTGTAACAAGTCACCACAAGAAAAAATATAGCTCCCTCCGCCTCACAAAACAAATCAGTGTTGTTGGGCAAGAGAAAAGTTAACTTTTTCTCAGGACTTGCAGCTTCTCTCTCCAGTTGCTTTTTTGAAGGAGACTCTGGGAAAGACTTGCGGTGGGGGATGGACCTAGAGCTTTGGGGAGTGGCGACTTGAAAGAGCAAAATTTTCCCCCATACAGAAGCTAGGGCCAGAGGTGGAAAGCATTCCTAGTCGTGCCCCTCCCCCTCCCCCCTCTCCCAGGTGCAGAAGGGAATCATGGCGTCAGGCAGGACCACTCGAACCTGGGTCGTGCTTCTTATTTTCCACTATAACCGAAGCTTCCTCAGCAACTTTGGCTTACTGGGGTTTACATGTGTATTAGGCAGCCTAAATTAACCAATAAATCTCTTTTATGTGTCCCCCAGTTGTATGTGGTCTGGTCTAAATATCCACATGTCTGCATGGATAGGAAATATAATAGGGTCCTTTCCCTCACACTGAGTTCAAACAGTAAAGGGGGAAAAGATTATTTTTTATACCCAAATCTAAAGTAATAAATAAAATCAGAGAAGCTTATCATTACCAAATGAGCAAAGCTTTCGAGTCTGATTCTTTGTAGAACCTAACTTGGAGGAGGAGGAGGAGGGGAAAAAAGACCGCTGTGAAGGGCAACAGGGTAGGACTGGTTTCTCCATAGAACCCAGAGCCTCAGCCACAGCACTTTGCCCTTCTTTCCTTCCAGTCGCCCCCAAAACCAAAACATGTGCCGCACATTGTGCTATCATGCAGTATTTTTTAAAAATTCTGTAGCGGACACGAAATGATCCTAAGTCGGAGACCTAGCAATTTTCTTTAAGTCCAAGGGAAACACTGCGGTCTTTTCTTCTGTTTTATATTTAGAAAAGACTTGCAATCTAACACTCACAACATTTTAAAGACCCTTTAAACCCAGCAAGCGGATTTCCGTTCTGCCAATGCTTCCTGATTTATTTCAATAAATGAATCTTTGAATCCAGGAAGGGAATGATTCCAAGACGCTGAATTTGGTGCCCCTGCCTCTCTCCAGTGGAGTACAAAGTATTTCTCGTTGAAATGTGTCCTGTGTCCTTGAAACTCACCATTATTCGAAGGGCTTTTTTTTTTTTTTTTTTTGGTAAACGACAATTTCTTTACATAAATCTCTACTCACTCTAGATCTTTTAAAAAGAAAAAAAGAAGAAAGAAAAAAAGGGGGAAATCGGCAAATGGCAATAAAAAATGAAGGAGGGAGAAAATAAAGGCAAGAATGTGCTTAAGTCCTCTTTATTTTTATGCTAAGATAAAGCTCTTAATTGGCTTCAGCGGTAGAGCTGACCGACTCTGGGACCTGCGGACACACTGGCCAGGCGCTCACTGAGCTCCAGATTTTACTGACTCCACCAGTTTCACTAGTCTGGTCATTTGGCCAATATTTTAAAAGCTTTAAAATACCTTTAAAAATTAATAGAGAATTAACAGATAGGTATTGTTAATCAATACCTTTTTTCCTTAAAAATTGTTTTGTCTTTGTCCTATGCAGTTTCAAGGCATATTGCTGCCCAATGTAATGAAATGCAAACAAGACAAGGCTGAGGTGTTTTCATTGCACTTGTCAGTCAGGGCTGTACAGATATATACCCTTGAACTTTAGAGATGCAGGTTGGAGTAAATGGGGCTAAACTTGGAAACACAAGGCAGGACTTAAGCC